TTTATAAAATCTGGATGTTACAGCTTTTTCCCGAGGCGGAGTGCAGGAATCTATACCTTCGACCCTCCCCCCCCCCCACTTTTTTTCTTTCGGCACATCCCTGAATACAAATGATACTTACATATTGAACAACATGCAAAAGCCACTCAAACTCATATACTCGAAGATCTTTGAGTTGAACAGGCATTGAAATAAGATGAGCGAGGACTTTTGCACGTGCTTTAATTCGATCAATTGATTCATCGTAATTCCCTTGGAAAAAAAAATTATTTGTATTTTTGACTATTGAATAAAAAATAATAATTTATTTTAAGATTTACGATTAAATTTCTACCATCAATCATTTATTTGATCAAAATATGCCAGGAGAAAAAGCAGTGAACATATTAGAACGCACTATATTTATCCCTATAAGGCTATTATATTTTATCACTTATTCTGTTCAATATATAGATAGTTAATAAAAAGCTTTCTAGAAAACTTTTTATTAATTATGGTCAAACAGACTTCTCTATTGTAGGAAGCTGTGAATCTCTTTAGACCTAAACCTGATTCGTGTCCAAAAGTTTAATTTATTTCTAGATCCCGGTCCACATCGAGATTTATCTTCAGAAAGTCTTCCTCATTAGTGGCAATTTTCAATTGTCATTTTATAAAAACTTGGAAGGTAAATAACTAACATCTTTCTAAATTAAAATACAAGAACTTTTTCTTCCAAACAATTAGATGAAACGGTTTTCAAAACAGAGTCTATCAAACGAACTTTAATAACAACACGCAAAATTTTATTTTTTAACAAACCTCAATTATTCTTAAAATTTTCTTTATTAATGTAATACGAAAAATCTTTTCTCGTATTTCCATCAAATATTACAAAAGAGTGTGGAAACTTACCAGACGTACGATCAAAATACGGATTAAAATCAAGTCTAGTGACGTTTCGCAATTGAATATCAGTTAATCTGCATTTTTCATTTTCAAATGGCATTTCAGATACAATAAACTGTAGATTATCACTGGTTATATACTGTCCTAAATAGAACATAAAAACTTTCATTTAATACAAAATATATATGTTCATAAAGAGCTATTCTTTGTCACGCAATTGTAATTCACCATAATATTCATTTTTCTTTTATTCAAATTGATAATTTTAAATGAATTTATTATAGATGTAACTTCACCGGGGCAAAGTCGTCTTCTTTTCGAATCGGAATCAGTAACATCTTTTATCGTATCAAAGTTAAGATCGCTCACCTCATAATTTAAAAGTGATTTATAACTGCTTTTCAAAATACTGAGTTGAACGTATTTCACACTGATCAAAGCTAGTAGTAGTGTTCTCTTTTGTTGTTTATCGATCCATTTTTTATAAAGTTCTGAACTACTAGATTAATGGATTATTCAAAGAGTGAGAAGTATTATGCTGCGAATCATAGAAATGATTTCGATTTCACATTTCGCACCTATCAGAATCAGCAACCCTAGATATAACAAATAAAGAAACTCACCCATATGAAGTTTGATACAAGAAACATTAGGAAATAATTCATTAAATTGTTCAAGAAATAAATAAAGAGATGGCTGTAAATTCATCCAAACATATCGTGTTTGTGGCCAATTGAAAAGATTTCTCTCGTTACTAGAACAAAAGCATAATTATCTTATAATATTTTATGCATTCTTACATTAAACAATTGGAAAATCGAGGTGTATAATTGAGAGAAGAGGTAAGATGTTGATAAGAAGTTATTGAATCAAAAAAACATTTAATATTTGTCCATTGATGATCAACAAAAAACGGATGAATTTTAAAAGAATTAATTATTTCCTCAATATCAATCATTGGTACTTTACATTTGGAAAAAATATAAAAATCAAAATTTCTTAAATTAATTGCTTCATCAGGCAAACAATATCGCCGAATAAAATTTGCATCAATAACAGATTTCCAAATAGCTTTACTTGTTTCATATAATGCGTCACTTTTCAAATGAATTTTCAATTTTTTAATATGATTAAGATTGTTTAGAATCCACTTCAAATAGGCAAATTCTGAATCATTATCAACGGAAGTTTTCAGAGTAAAACTTTCTAGTTTTGGTACCTATGATAAAAAAGACACAATTCAAAGATACATTTATCTTGATTTCTTAAAGGAACTATTTTACTTCTTAAATATATTTATCATATAAAAATTGAGTTTCAGAAAAAAAAGGAAAAAACAAAATATACCATTTTCACATTTATGAGGACAAATTCAACTGGCTTTTCATAGTACCAAAGCTAAAAATTTAAAATTTAACATCGTTTTGTGTAACTTCGCCATGATATAAAGAAAATATGAAATAGTTTTACTATTAAATGTAGTATCGAGTAGATTCTCATAACAGATTACTTTTCTCCATAATCTGAACTCTCTTCGCCTATTAATTCTACCTAAAGCAAAATCTCTGTAACCATTTTGCAAGCAAGATCTAATATAACACGATGAATAATATACAATTTCTCTTCTATTCAAATAGATAATGAAAATTAACTCTTCCCGCACAAACTTGAAGGTAGTTGGCAAAAATGGAATCGGTCTGGTTCCAAAAAAAAAATTAAAATGACTCTTATCTAAAACTGATATTTTAATGCATTTCTTAGCTTATTATAAGTTTTGATCCGGTTCGAAAAAACATGAAATAATTTCATCTCTGGTAGTTAGAAGTGAAAAATGATAAGCAGATTTTGTCATTCAGCAAACTTTCTTTTAGTTAAATAATAAATACGCATCTGAGAAATAATTGGATTAATATTTAATTAATTTTTATTTGTAGTTTACAAGCAGAATTTAATATGAAATGTTATCTAGAGTTTTAGAATAAGGACTTCAATCAAAAATTCAAATCATTGGTAAAATATGTAGATCACAAGAAGACAATGAAAGAATTAGAAAAATCTCTTATTACAGCATATGATAATGCAATCATTATTTGATTGGCCAGTATCTTTTCTATTACCTTATTAAACCACTTTCCATTTGTTTGTATCAATGTGTCAATGTCTGTTGTAGATCGCTGACAAATTTTCAATGAGTGACGAAAACAAACCGATAATTGTTGAAGAACAGGAACATATTCAATAAGACGTTCAAGAAAACATGTATATTTAATATGAATATATAAACGACGAAGAGTCAAACAAGATGGTCGACGCGTAAAGATTGAAAAAGAAGCAAGAGTGATATGAGGTTCTAAACATCGATGAAGATTAGCATAAGAATCATCGCAGGCAATATCAAGTTGAAGTGAAATGAGACGAGATTGATTAGAGAAAAGTTTAAGAATTAATTCTTCAAGCATAATTAACTTTTCTATAAGCATAAAGAGAAAAAAATCAACATTCTATCTATAAATATTTCACTTTTCTCTTAATAAAGAAATAATCTTATTATTTCTTTATGAATAATTAATTACCTGTACGTAAACCCATTGCCGATAATCCATTTGGATATCGAAGTAATGTAATAATATCTTTATCAAATGTTAATTTAAGTTCATCAAGTTGATATTTAATAAGTATAGGTAGACTTTTAATTAAAGGTTCTACCAATAAACATCGAGTAAGTATAAGTGATTTAAGATTTGGAAAGTGAAGAATTTTTTTATCATTATCAAAAAGCCATTTATAACTTAAATCAGCAGCATTACAAATTGTCCCATCAAAATGAATACGTCGAATACAAGAAGCAAATGGTAACAATGGATTAGAAATTAATGGTAATAATATTGAATTACATTTATTATATGATAAACCAGGGTTAATAATAACAAGACCATTATTTGATTTATTATCAATTTTTGAGAGAATAGAACATATCAGCCGATCAAAGCGTTTATTCAATGACGATAAAGACATTACTAATTCAAACCATGATAAATGAGAAAATATCATAAGAAGAATTTCATTTGGTATTGTTTCCAATGTTGTTATCATCTTATTCTGACAAGTTTATAATCGGTTTTATATAAAAAAAAGAATCAAGATAATGTAGCAAAAAAAAAATAATTTGAATATTGCAAAGATTATTTTTCTTGAATTTATATCTACAAAAAAAAGGAAAAAAACGTAATTTCGATTTAATCTATCTTACTACGTTCATATTTTAAAAAACATACAATGCAAGATATCGAAAGTTAATAACATCATTAAAAAAAATAATTTTTGAATTCATAATGTTATTATAAAAAAGTTTGCTTATCGCTCATTATATACAATGAGCTAATTTGGCGAGAAAAATGTTGACCGATGAATAGCATGACGAAATGTTCGACTGCTATCCAACTGATGAAAGAAAAAAATAAACTTTGTCCGTTTGTTTGCTATTGGATATGCTCGTCATTCTTGAATTTTTGTTAAAAAGAAGAAAGAATAGACACACTAATGTGTCAGAATGAAGATAGAAAAGTTAAAAGAATTGATTATTGAATATATTTTTGAAAATAAATATTGTATTTAAATGAGAAATTTTATTTGTATATCAAATCTCTTTTAGTTATGAATAGTAAAAAAAAACTAGATTTGATATAATTAAATACTATACTTTATTCAAAATTTATTTTGTCTTTCGTTGTGTTTAATTCAACACAATGGGGCATCATTCTTAAAACTATGTAGAAGTAACTATATATATATATATATATATATATGAGTGTAACGATCAAGGAAGAAACGACGCACTCCCGTACTCTGAGTACATTGTGAGTATAGGAGTACAACAAATCTAATATAATTTATCCTTGAATATCATTGAAAAAACAGTAAGTTGACTCTTTTATTGGGAAGTTCTTTTGGTGATATTGAATGATATAATCTACAGTAAACCGATCATCCGACTTCATATTAAGATGAAAACGAGGTACTCCTGTACTCCTATGTATTGCCATATACTCCGGCTGTACTTGGAGTCATGGGTGGCGGAACGATTTTAACTTAGGGGAGGCTGAAAATTTTTTCCTAGGCAATGATGAGAGATGGAACAAAAAAGGAACTATTTTCTACTTTTTATAATGTTCGCTATATTTTAAACGCATTTTTGGATTTATTCATGTCAAAATTTGAACCATAGTGAAAAATTTTACGGCAACGTTAACTTTTCTATTGGATAATTAGCATGTACATAAAAATCTTACACCTAATCTAATGTGAATATAGCAAGGCAGAGCTAAAAGCACTTCTCACGACCGAAAATGATTTCATGCTGTTTTTTTTTTGAATGAACCATTGCAGCTATTCTTCTATTCCATGTAAACTAATTTTTCTTCATATGAAGGATATCAATATGACTAAAAGTGATCAGCGGATAAAATGTGCCAAAAGTCATTGTGACTTATTAAATGCATTTCAATGCACTATTATTCAAGCTGAATCTAATATTTTTTATTTCAAATGGGAGCCTATGAACACTTTGTTCTTAAAGATCAAGTTAATCAACAACGTAGCAAAAGCAGGATTTGTAGCTACAAAAAGAAAAACATTAGGCTTTTTCTATGTCAAAAACAATACAGTGTTACTTTCTATATCTACTAGAACTTTGTTCGTCATTGTGCACTTCAGATCATTTAGATCTTTCAGTATTGCTTGACAGCCATTGTCTGACACATTTTGAAAAGAATAAATAACTGATGCATTTTCCCTCGGTAGGTCGTTCGTGCCTCTTCGAAAACCATTAAGGCCGTGAAAAGTGTGCGTTGGACTATTTAAAAACACATGTTATTATTAATATTGACTTTCTTGCTCTTTTTTCTCGAGAATATATCAGGATGAGTATTTGTAAAGTCATGAGGATAGATTTGAATGATTTGAAGTTCCTAATAACGATTGAAATTCTAATAGATATGGAAAAAACGCTTCATATCGTTTTCCACATAGAGAAAGACCTCATTTTATTCTTTTTTGTATTCGCAAATTCCACTTTCGCTACATTGTTGTTGAAACGGGTCTTTAATAATACAGACATGTTAGTCTCTTCTTTCAAATAAAATAAGTTTTGTGTTAAGCTTCATTGCTACAGGAATTACATGTATTTTCAATAGTAATCTTTGGCACATTCTGTATGTTCGTTATGTGTTATAAACAGGGAGTTTTAATGCGGTCAGTTAATTTAGTTGATAACATATTCACACTAGCTACGTTAATATTAGTGATTATACTCATCTTTTTTTCTTGTTCTTTTAAGAAAGACATGCTTCGACGCTATTTAGTAAAGATTTTGTCTGCCAAAAGATTCATGTTCATCTACTACTTCAAAATTTTTTGTGAAACTGAAACAGAGATAAATGTTTGTGATCCGAAAGTCATAGAGGCACTACAAATATGGTGATACATATGGACTATCTAACATTTGACTGGGTGTACCATTAAAAAAACACGAGACAACCTTTGTTCAAAGAGTTCTCGCTAATAAGACGTTAACTTGCGATTATATCTTTAAAATATTTTTTAGTATTTGAGCCTCCCTAAGCCTAATGGCTCCGCCGCCCATGCTTGGAGTACGTCGTTTCTCCCTTAGTACTGATACAATTATAGGTGTAAACCGTGCAGCTCAGCAGTCACCGCCGATCAAGGTGTTAACTTACACTTCTAGATACAATAACAATACGGCGTGAGCGTTAGCACGCATCAATTGAAATAAAGTAGAAAAAAAATATATTATGTAATAGGCGTATAACATTAGAAAGTTGGTCTAGGTTATCTTGAGAACGGCCGAACATGTCAAGCTGTCCTTTGGCTTATAAGGATTTATTGATGTGCTCTTTATTTTGTCTAGCAGGCACTTTTGTTCAAAATGCTTGTAAGTACGTTTTCTAGAAAACCGTAGTTTTAGGACCAATAGTCGCGAAATGTGTTTTTGTTTTAACAGTCTACAATGATAGAGCAATCAATTTTCTACAAACTGAGATATCTCCGAACTTTCTACGATGCCTTTTGACTGAGTTATAACCATTTTAATGAAGGGCAAAAGCGATTTTTTTTTCTGCTGTCTCCTCTTGGAAAAAAAAAAGTCTTTTGTCTTTCGCTAAAATTGATATAACTCAGCCAAAAACCATCATAAAAAGTTCAGAAACATCTCATTTTAAAGAAAATTGATTGCTCTATCATTATAGACTGCTAAAATAAAAACATGTTGCGTGATCATTGGTCCTAAAACCACGGCTTTCTAGAAAACCTACTTACAAGCATTTTGGACAAAATTGTCCGCTAGACAAAATAAAGAGCACATCAAGAAATCCTTATAAGCCAAAGGACAAATGGTCATGTTTAGCTATTCTCAAGATAGTTTTCTGATGGTACACGCCTATTTTCAACGCGTTAGTAAAAAAATACAAAAGGATTATAAAATAGAATGCAAATATTGAATGATGAAGGACAGGAAAATGACTACTAAGCTTTCTTTATGATTCTTGAAAGTTTTTTAAATGTGAAATTTGTTCTTTTGTAAAACTTATTCCTTGGTATAAGAAATTCTTTTATCTGATCATAATATATGAACGAATAGTAGATTCAAATAATGTTGGGCAAAAATCTGTATCAAACTATATATTTGTTTTTAAGTTTAAATTACATGAGTAAAGTCAAAGTTTATCATGTCATTACGGATACAAGAGTTAATTTTATGTAATATGCTTGATGCGAAAATAGACTCACGAAATTCATCTTATTATAAATTATGCTTTATGCATGCTTAATATATTTTATTTTAAAAGAATTTATCATGTATAGTAATTCTTATGTTATTGTAATAGGAATCACTTATTTGTTATGTTAGACAAAAAAAATATAAATTCCTTTTGTTTGTTGTTCCTATATACCAACAATATTGTTTATTCCACAGATGATCGTTAATGAAGCTTTAATGAATAATATGATTTCATTTGTAACTAATAGTAATGATGATGAGATAAGTAAAAGACTGGTTATATAAAAATTTCTTAATATTCAAAATTAATGAAATCAGATTGATGAATTGAATCAATTTTAATCGGATTTATTTCCAAAATTTTTTCCATGGATTGTCGAATATTTTTATGCTATAGATTTAAATGACGATGTACAATAAATGTCTTAATTAATTTTTCAACATGTTTTCTGTATACTTGGCCTCCATTTTAATAATAAAGAATATTATTCCTATAGACATCTTATACTTATCCAGACACTTATGACACCATACATGCTACTAATTGCTATTAATTAGGGAAACATTGTTCATTAAAGTAAATGCAAGTAATCAGATGAATTCACATAATACAGCACGTTTTCTTTCTCTTCATATAAATACGTTGCTTATACAAATAACAATCAAGTAAAGATTTTCCTGAAGATGATGCAATAATATTTCCTATTAAAAATCAACTGATATTCATCAATTCTACTGTTATTTATTTGATTTTTAGTAATAATGGAATTACTTTATGAAATCATCGTTAATTTCTGAAGATTTTTCTTTCTTATATTTACATATATTTACATTTAACAACAACTATAGGATAATGCAGCAGCATTGATTTTTTATTTTGTCAGATTGTTAAATAATAGATAGTATTTTATTAATCTGATTTTTTTGCTACAAATTTTTACCTTATCTTTTAAGAATATATTATTTTTCATCATATCATCTGTTTCATTGAACACTACACTATCTCTTGTTCCGATTCCTATAAAATAAATAATATCACAATACTTTATAAATACAAATTTTAATTTTAAAACTAAAGATCTGCAACAATATGTTTTTTTTTGAAGAAGTTTATCAAATTTATATCTTTTTCTAAAGAATATAATGATGAGTGTTATAAAGAAAACCTAAAGGACCCTGTCGGATTTCATCGACCTATCCGTTTTGAAAAACAGAATACACGGTTTTGTAGAGCTTGAAAAG